AAAAAAAAAGGAAACATTGCCTTTCTGTAAACAGAAATATCAGTCCAAGTAACCCAAAATATACAATATCCTTTATATATATATTTATTTATATAGATGCAGCCCTCCCGGATACAGCAGCCATTGACTCCAAGGGAGGCAAAGAAACTATAACAAACACACTCACACATACAGCTTAACTGTACTCGAGGTATGTACATTCCCAGAGTTTCATACACCAGATCGGTACATACTGAGCGGACCTGACCTGTAAGACTAAAACAAAGAAGTAAGCAGACTGCATTGTCTGTATATGTATTTCTGTTGCACTGTTACATAATACATCTATATCCTTTCAGCTATGCTGGGCAGACAGATCCTTAAAGGGTAAGTCCACTACAAACTGTTATTTCTGTTCCGGGTGGATTCAAGTAGGCTGAACCATGCCTGAGTAACACACTTCCCATTCTGCAATGAGATATCTGGATGTATTCATTGACAGCTTTAGGCTTCATGTACACCAGCAGCTGCTAAACTCGCGTTTAGGAGCGTTTGGCATTTGTTTGCCACAGCTCCTAATCTCAACTCCATAAAATGTGTCCATGTACACAAAGGCTTTTAGCAGAGTTTAAGAGCTGCCGCGTTTAGATGAGGTTACACCTCCCTCTCCTGATTGCGAAAGGATAGGAAAGGTTTGACCACCAACCAAAATGAGCCAAACCGCGCAAACCGTGGTACCGCATTTTTGCTGCGATTTTTGTTTCCCAGTGGCGGCCAGTAGGCTCGTGTACATGAAGCCTTAGGCAGCCAATATGTACTAAGCACAGAGATCAGCTGCTTCAAAGTAAATCTGCTTTTGAGTAGCAAATGCAGCCCAGGCCAAATTCCCCACTGTGAGTGCTGGGACAAGGTCATTCGGCACCCAGGGCAAATATACCAAGCTGCGCCCTGGGTTCATGATGTGCACGCTTAGGGGATCCTATGCCCAGCAGTCATTCGCTTGTCAAAGTCACTACTCCTGTACCTTCTAACAGAAGAAAGGCACTCCCATCTCTACAGAAAACCATTGCACCCAGGGCAGCCACCCTTCTGCCCACCCCTTGTCCCGACTCTGCCCTCTGTCCAGCCCTGAATGCAGCTCAATGCTTCACTAGACATGCTATTGACTTCCCAATACCTATAGTCCATTCCATACTTTCCACTGGATTTTCTGTTATTTATTTAGAATGCAGCATAAGAAGTAAGACCCAATATAAGATTGGGCAGAGCCTGAGACTTCTCTGGGCAGAGCTTGAGAGATGCTAAATGGTGCTTCAGTCTACCAGTGTCCACCCACTGTGTTATCAGTGCTGGATTAAACCACGTGAGGGCAACCTCAGCAAGTCCTACCATCAAGAAACGGTTTATTCCTGCATCATGTAAGTAATAGTTTGACTGGAATCCCAGGAATGCAATAAGGCCTTTCATAAAGACGCCATTAACATAATTATGTCATATTATATGGCACAAATTGCACTACACTGAACAAATATTTACTTTGTTAGTCATTTGCTGGTGTATATCCACTGAGTAAATCTGTGATGCTGGAATGGGGAAATGATCGCAAGTACAAGAATTGCACATTTATGAAACATCTTTGGTGAGAACTTTCAATGCTTGTATCTACCACATCATGCAATCATGTCATTGTAGCTGAGCACTGCAAGCAACCAACCAAGTGATTTAAGCACTATATAAATATTAAACCCCCTGGTGTTGCCACAGAGAATCTCAAACATCCTTAGATACCTCAGTATAATCTCTTCAGATGAAAAGTATTTGGAAGAAGAATCACTCAGTCCAGGCTTTGAATCTACAGCCTCAGCAAGCACATAGCAATGGGGGAGATATTAAATGTGAATGAGACAAAGTTTTGACTTGCCTTTGTATATAAAGTCTTTTTCTGAAACCACTTACTGTGCTTGTAAGATTTTCTTAAATCATGTCCTATCACACCCATACACACATACAGTATGTATATATTAGGAACAGTTTTGGGTAGGAGTCAATTAACCTGACAGTAAATGTTTGAAGGCCATCACAGCATACAGACATATTAAAACAGCAGACACCATACAGATGATGTCTGGGATGCTACTGAAAATACAGCTCTTTCCTAAATTTGGTTGTCATGTTAAGTTGGGAGTCACCCAGTGTCAAATTTAGAAACTAGGTCCTTTAAGTTTGAAATTAAATTGCATTTACCTGTTGATGAAAAAAAAATTGCATGATGTGTAGCTATTCTTGTGCTTGCTACCAAATCATGGCCAGTCCTTGGGATGTTATGAATGTGTAACAATTATGTGATCACCAATAAAAAGGAGATAATGCCAATAAGAAACAAGTGATCACTGTGCATTCATCACACATGAACAATGTGCCATGTTACAGAATTATATCTAGAATCTTGGAACAATGGAGATCCATTGGATGAAAATTTCTGTTATTATAAGAACACCATGTTGGTTACCTGGTGGCACTCATCTCTTGCTGTCCTAGGGTCCTAGGATCATTTCCAATATGGAAAATATCTGCATGGAATGGGTACATTTATCAAAACTGTGTGCGTGTTTTCTCCAGTTTAATCACAACATCCAAAATATACAAGCAGAATACATTCCACTTTCACCCAAATTACCCTACTGTGTGGGTATGCAGGAAGGCAACGTGTAAGGGCACAAATAAGATCCTCTAGGGCTAGGACTACTGTGAACGGTACTTTGGAAAGCTCTGCAGAGTATTGTATGTTGCTGTAAAAGAAACTAAAATAATATCTTAATTTCTGTCTATCCATGGATGCAACCTAGGCATCCTTTACAAGTCAAGAAACACTGCCAGTATGTACCATCCACATCCACACTTTTCATTTACTATTCTGTACACACATTTTGCTGTACATGTATATACATAGATATGCACCTATAGTGATAGGAGTGCATGAAACCCTGTATTAGTATTACTGAAGGGATGGAAATCTGTGGCTGTTGATGAAGGGAAAGTCCCAAAAGGCTCTTTAATCCAAACAAGGGCCACCTTGTGACAGAAAGGACAGGTTGGGACAAGCCACAGGCTAGGCCCCTGTAAATGACAAGCCTTACACCTAACCACTAGTATCATATCAACATATTCAGGACTTCATTTTCCAGCTGCAGTTTGGGCACCGAAAACAAAAATCACATTCATTGCTGCAAATAACACCTTTACTTTCCCTTTATTAAAACTGTCATGCATAGACTATGCTCTGAGAAAGAGAGCTTGCTCCTCGAAAGGCATCATCATGTGCGTCTGAGTGGTGCTATGGTGGTCTTTATGAAAAACTTCCACATCTTTGCCTTATTGTCACTTGGGTTCTGCTATATTTTTCGACTTTATTCATTTGTTTTGTTAGTATGTTTTTATGCACTTCTCATTTTTTTAAAAAACGTTCATAATGCACTGGGTCTTTGCGCCCTCGTATTGTTATTTTGTCGTTCAACATAGCTGAGTTGTCTTAATTAAGCTTCAGATACAAATATCAATGCTGTAAAAGAAAAGTAATATTGATCAGGTGTCTGGATCCTTCTTTTTTTATAAGAGTATGGATTTAAATGACACCAATAAGTCTCTTGTTCATATTTGGATTAAACATCAAATATCAACAGCCATCGCCAGAAGTAAGAAAGCTGCATGCATATTTGGCTTTGATCACCATTATAAAAACTTTAACTGTGATATATAAATCATATTACATGTCATGGGACTTATTTTAGAATGCAAATTTCGCTACCCTATGACTGCACCAACTTGCTGCACAAAGAACTGTTGTGACCAACCATCCACATGGGAAGCTAAGCCATAATCATAGGTCGAAGTGTGGTTTTTATTTAAAAGATCTGTAGTGTGTGGGCAATTAATTGACTGACATTTATCATCAACCTCTATAATGATGGCTGATGGCTCTATATCAAGTACGTTCCATTTCAGGATGTCCGAATCAGCTGACCATTCTTGGGGTGACCTTTTAAGGAAAAATATCCATAACTGAGTGATAACCCCATATGAGTTTCAGGTAACAATGCTTTCAGTTAGAAGTTTTACCTACATCAGCTGAGCCCTGCTCCCTCTGATGCATTGGCATCATTCTACCACACTTTTCCATCAAAATGTTTTCAACAAGCTTCACCCCAAAGATGTCCTGCTTTTTAGTGTGCTGAAAAACAATCCCACGTGCTGCAATTTGGATAGGTGAGCTGCATCTGCCAGTCAAATCAATTTGAAAGGACCCTCTCACTACTATACATTTTTTAAAAAGTAGCTAACGGAAACGTTTGGTTTACAAATCTCTGTAATTACATAGGGGAATAAAGTGAAAGAAAAAAGAATAAGGTGAAACTGGTCATGCTGAAAAATGTTATCTTACCAAGTTAACTGCCATAGAATTATAACTCAACACTATAGTTTGTGGGCTGAAAAGATAAAATGTATAGTGGTGAACATCTGATGAAGGAGAATGGCACCCCAAAACCTAAGCTTCATCACATTTTGAATCATACTATAAGGATTTTATACTGCTAAACTGCAATTAAGGCTTTTTGTCTGTCATCTGTAACCACAATATGTTTCTGGAGCAGTTGGACGATCAGCTTTTATCAGATGTGTTTAATTGAGACTTGCCTTTTCCACTTCGGTCTATGGACAAGTGATGATACTGTGCAAGTTGAGTTAATCTTGGAAAAGTGACGTTGTAATATAGATAATGTAAATGTATCAGAAGGAGAACATTCCTGATAACCTAGCTGTGGTTGCATTGCTCAGGCATCCTATTTACAGATAAGGACTTATTTTAGCTAAATCCAGATATGTATTATATAAATGTCCTTATGTATTTGATAGGAGAAAAATTGTTCACAATCACTCAGAATTAGACATAGGGTATACACGCTCTCATCTTAGCTTGCACTCATAGCTGCCAGAGGGAGATAATGGAGCCGCGGTAACAGGCCCTAACCCACCGCGGAGGAGGAAGTAGTAGAGGATGCTGGGGATCCTGTACTGGAGCTGTTCCAAAACAACCAGCGTCTCTTGGGCTGCCTCTTCTGGTGCAGAGCTGTCTCCTTCTCACGTTCTCTCTGAGCTCTCTGAAAGTGATCTTCCTCCTTAAGGTACCATACGGGGGGCCACCGCTGAGCCTCCAGAATCTGCTGATTCTCTGAAGAAGAAAAAATAAATATAATAATGCAGCATACATACAATACAGATTATATATAAACAGTAAATCCTTTTATGCATTTCATGTTTCCTTTCTATCACTCCATTTGATTTTTTTTTTTTGCCATGTCACATTGCGAGAGAGGTAGCCTGTGTTCTCCTGGGGTAAACAGGGCAGGAAACAGGAGAGGCAAATGCCTCTGGATCTGATGCACCTGAACTTAACTAGTTCTACTGACAAGATGTAGAAATAAATTTACCCACAGACAGTAAAAAACAAGCCTACAGCACAACCAGCACAAACTGCACAAACTTTCCCATAGACAGATAGATAGCAGCCAAAGAACATTGGGCAATATGTAAAAAGCTGTAAAAACGCTCTAATGCTGAAAAATGCGGTAAATCGCAGGCAAAACGTTTTTTTGGGCGTTTTTTTGATCCCTAAATTTTTTTTTTTTTTTTTTTGGAAAAAAACACATGAAAAAATGCGGCAAAACAGCGAAATGCTAATGTAAAACGCTAAAAAACACTGAAAAACTCAAATTTGTAACGTGACTTTACACAGCTAACGTTACCAGCGTTATTAAAATGCCCAGTGTGCATGGAGCCTTAACCTCCCTAGCGGCCGGATTATGTCAGTATTTCTGTGCTCAAAGCGGTACATTGTTTCCAATGGAAATATGTTGTTTTTTTATTGTAGGCCTGTAATTCTTAGGAATAACTCCCTGAAATCTGTCTGAACAAGAGTCTAGTAAACATCCCGGGTATGATAAAATTTGAAACATGAAATCATAAATTATAATATAATAAATAATTATCAAAAATAATAATATAATAATAAATTTAATTCAATAATGTAATTAAACCAAAAACACTGAAATTTGAAATATAGCGCCAAGTTCGCACATCACTGAGCTCAGTCGCAAAATCGTTTTCAGTGTCTGATGACGAATTTCCCCCCGCGAATCATTATCACTCAATTCTGCAAGTGGTTCTAATTTACTATCGCTGTTCTCTACCTGATCTAAAACCAATTTTGACCTAAAGGGATGCTTTTTGGACGCCATGGACGTTTCTCAGAAAGAACGGTAAAAATGCAGGCAGGGCACAGGACAAAGCACTAGGGACAAAATGTATGTGAAATGGTTTGATACAGTAATATAATACTATCAGATTTTAGTGTATTGAGTGAAAGACAAATTTTTACATTTTTGAAATTCCCGCCGATTCCGTCCCGTCCCATCCCGTATGTCCTGACGCTCGCAGGGAACGGAACCTGGAAAACGGATGCTGGCATCAGCCAGATGACATGGCCAGGGACGCTGCAGGGGGGACAGCACAGGACCGCAGGACAAGGTAAGTGCTCAAGGGATCCCAGAGCAACGCTGCAGAGTAATCCCGAGTGTAGCTGGTACTGAAAGTTAACCCTGAGCTACACTCAGGAATACCTCCAGGGAGGTTAATAGTTGAAGAGATGGGTATTCCTTACTATGATGTGCTGAGGTGGTGAATGAAAGCTCTTACACTGCACTCTCTTATAGACATTTTTGATAATCCTGTCTTGATAACATGCACAAAAAGTTCCCGTACGGGCTGCGGTTTCCAAAGAAGTGCAGGGACTTCTTCCTTGCGTGTCCCGGGGCATGGGAGTCCATTCAAATAAATGGGCTCTTGTGCCCGCGCAAAACACGGCCCCGCATGGCCGCATATATGTGAACCAGGAGTCAGTCTGCTCTTAATATATTCAATGCTATGTATACAGCATGAGGTAGATTTACAAAAAATGGTTCACTCAGAATCTGGTGCAGCTGTGCATGGTAGTCAATCAGCATCTAACCTCAGCTTGTTCATTTAAACTTTGGCAATAAGGCCGGCCATACATGGGTTGATTTTCGAACGATTTCTTATTGGAAAATCGGACCTAAGAAAAATCCGCCATTTTTCGCTTGGTTAGTGGGGCAATTTTCAAAATCATCAGATTACAGAACAAACGATTTTTTTTAGATTTTCGATTGAAAAATCATTCGGAATTCGACCCAAGTATGGCCTGCTTAAAACCTAGAAGCTGATTGGTTTCTATGCAGAAGTAAGCCTGTTTTTGTACTCTCCAGTTTTAGTACATAAACCCCTATATGTCCTAGGTGGGGCGCTCAGTTTAAACTTAGGGAGCACACTATGCAGATGTGTCGTGATGCAGTAACTGCAAATCTGTGCAACAAAAAGAACTGTTTTTTTTTTAACCTATGTAAATGTTAGAATCAATTTAATTAAGCTGTCTGTGCCGACTAGCTTTTTTTTTTTTTTCTGTTTTATTGAGCTTTGAATAAAGAAGAACAAAACAAAAGGGCAAACACAGTGTACAATACACCATCAGCATTACCAGCCAATACATAAATCCTTCCCGTCTATTGCTGAGGGACAGGTGTTCTTTAGGTTTACAGGTAATATATTGGTAAGATGTTTACCAGGTTAGATGTCCCAAATGACTCACCTGGGGAGACGAGCTTAATTTCTCGGGGGAATTTTCTGCAGACACGGTTGTAGTTTGTAGAGATGTGATGTAAACACCAGGCTGCCAGCTGCTGAGCTCCATGGAACTAGAAGAATGAGATGGTAAGTGGGTGAGGAGGAGGGCAGAGTACATTATTCTGATAGATAAAATCTGAGCAGAGTGGAAGAAGTTATGGTTGAACTGGATAGACTTTTGTCTTTTTTCAGCCAGACTAACTATGTAATCAGGGAGTCAGCTGTATAGTCACACCATTTACCTGGGCAGCCTCCAGTAACATAAGAGCGTCTCCATCTATGTCCTTGTTATTCAGAGATGCGTCCATCATCACCGACACTGTGTGTTTCTCTGTTACAGAACAAACATACAGATCAGACCAGAAAACTCCAACACTGACAACAATAAATTAGCTGTTAAGGTGTAAAGGGTTGGGGCTGGAGATTGATTTACTAAAGGCAAATAGACTGGGCACTTTGCTAGTGCAGTTGCTCCAGAGCTTAGTAAATGAGGGGAAGCTTTGCTTATTTCTCTCATCCAATCATGTGCAAGCAAAAATGCAGTTTTTTTTAAATTTTCCTTATATGTGATCAGGACTGTGGATAAGAAGGTACCAGCAGTCCTGCTCTACGGGGCCCAGGCCAGGAGGGGGGACCAGGCAGCTGGGTAAATTTGATGTGGACAGAGAGGGTGATTGGCACGGTGGGGGGCCAGTTACTAGAACTGATCCCCTGTATGGATCTTTCTGCAGCAGCTGAAAGCTGGCTTCTTCTTCTCTCCCTCCCACTGGCTTTCAGCTGCTGCAGAGAAAACCCTACAGGGGATCGGTTCCAGTAATTTACCCTGCTGCACCCATCACCCTTCCTGTGAACCGTATGTTTCTCCCAGCTGCCCAGGCTCTCCTGTGTGCCCCCACCCCCAAAGTGCTGCTGGCTTCTCTCCTCTCATTCCCACCGGCAGCTGCAATCACACAATATGAACGTTCAGGATGGAGAGTGGGGGAAGCGTCTGGTAAATATGTCCCATTTACCATCCACTTCCTTCCCTGAATGAACGCAATGAGTGATTGGTACAGATCACTCACTTTGTTCATAACTGAAGCATAGTAAACTATGTATTTTTTGGGGAGGGAGGGTAGTCAGGTTGGCTGTATGGGGCCCCGTGGTTTCTAACAGCAGCCCTGTATGTGATTGGGTATTTTTGGAGAGTGAAGCTTCACTTGCAAAGTGCACAGTCTATTTGCCTTTGGTAAATCAAATTGTGTGTTTGTGGTTGTGCACTCATTGCTGCCAGGCTGTCAAAATTTGATATGTGGCTGTGTCCATGCAGCCGGTTGCCTGCACTCAGCTACTGATGCCAGAATACATTCCTCCTGCACGCAGTACGGGGACCAGTACCCGCTTGAATAAGACCTATCTCAAGTCAAAGCATTTTTTTATAGAAAAGAGAAGGGTTAAAACACCTGTCAGGTTCTTGTTGCTGTATCCCACTGGCTGCCCCAGAGGCACAACAAGAAGTATGCAGAAACCTCCACAAAGTAAGTTAAATTCCTCGCTTAGTTGTCACCGGTATGTCCCATCAGAGGATTTCTGCTTATTTCTTGTTCTTGTAACAACTGTACAATTTTTGATACTATAACTATGATAATAAGCACAAACAGAGAGCGTAAATCTTCCCAGCAAGGAAATAGACAACAAAAACCAAACCAGAAAGAGTTTCTTATTCTGGGCGGTGTCAGCCAAATAGAGCCTGCATCCAATCAGGCGCAGCCACTGTTCAGATATTGTGACAGCCTGTGGTGATGGCTGTCAGAATTCAATAACCCCGTATCCATCTACACTGTAAAGCTGGGCATACACAATTAGATTTTACTAAAAAAAAATGTACATATTCCTCCATCCACACAAAGGATGTGGATGGAGGAATTCCTCTTCCAGGAGATTGTATACTGATAGACCAACCCGTTGAGCAGGGACAGCCACACACACCAATCTAAGTTTGGCCAGTCCCTGCTGAACTGGTCAAATTTCCAGTTGGCCAATTACCAATGGCCAGCTTTAGAATGGAAGGAAGAATCCGTTTAGTTTTTTCATTCAGCCCATGGGCCAAAGTAAAATAGTCTATCAGGGTGGCTGTTATCTGCCTTTTGCTAGGTCTAGAGATTAATACTTGGTAATGCTGACATCATAACCATATCATACATTATTACCGGTGTGGAAGAACCAAAAAAATAGTGTCATGTGCTTACCATGTGATCCATGATTCAGACCTTTTCAAAGTTATTGGATGAAAATCAGAGACCTCTGAATTTATTTTGATTTTAAAAGCAGGTTTTAACTGGTGGCCTTCTGCAGCCTGGCACAGAGCCAAGAGATTTATTTGAACACATTTATTCCCCTCCCAAGTAGCCTGAAGTTACTTATACAGAAGTGTTCACAGTTAATAAACTGAACTGATTACATTTACAATTGGAAAATTGGTGCTTGCCCAATTTTTTGGTCCATTTTGGTGTGTTAGCATGAATCAGCTGCCTTCATGCAACATAACGTGCATTACCGCGCATGCACAAACACAAACAAGCTGCAGTAGACTACCCAAGGCCTTCAACATTACTCATGATAAGCACAATATTTACCTGTCAGAGCCACTAAATGGGGCAGGCAAAGTCTGTTTGCCAGTATGATGAGGTCCAGTGGGTCAAGATCAGATCCTGCAGTGAACTGCCCAGTGTAGAGATACTCAAGCACTGCACGCATACTGGCCTTAGAGGTATAGGGGAGCACCACCTGCAGATGCACAACAACCTTGTTTAATGAAAGAACAAGAAACAGGCTACGCAGAAGCCATATACAGTATATTTTTAGAAAGTGTACAGTTTATAATGTATAGATACAGTAAAGGCCCACTTAAAGTAAGTCTATACTCAAATGCTACATTAAAGATATTTAAACCCTTAAACAATTAAATTTGTCATGTTACCATTTGTGTTTTGTTATATTATTATTATTATACAGGATTTATATAGCGCCAACAGTTTACTCAGCGCTTTACAATATAAAACGGGAGACAATACAGCACCAATACAGTTCAATACAAGAGGGTTAGGAGGGCCCTGCTCCTTGGAGCTTACAATCTAACCCTAGGTTCACATCTGTGCGGGTGGTGCCGCTGTGGATCCGCACGAAAATCCGTGCAGCTGCACCACAGCACAGAAAAAAGCGGACCCGCGGGCGGGTGCCATTAGTTTTAATGGCACGCCGCCTGCACTGGAAAACGCAACCGTACTGGGAACCGAGGTCCCCGTGCGTGCTGTTATTTCCAAAGAAGTGCAGGGATTTCTTCTCTGCGTGTCACGGGGCAAATGAATGGGCTCTCGTGCCCATGCAAAATGCAGACCACACGGCTGCATATATGTGAACTGGGGGTAAGAGGGAATTTTATTTGTTCAATAAGTGCAAAAACGACAGTTGATTTTGCCGTCTTATCAGCTGATAGCTCTCTGTGCTCGCTGCCTGTGCTGCATTCTTATCCCTTATGTTGTTCACAGCTATCTCTAAACACTAAAGAACCCTTCCCTCTATGTTATGGAGGAGATGAGAGAAGGAGGTGTTTGTAGTCCTGTTCTATGGTAGCAACACTGCTCCTCAATTGATACAGTACAGTGAGTGCATGTGAGTGCATGTTGTCATCCTGGGACAAGAAGTGTGTTACTAGCAGAGTGTGAAAATAAAGTAAAAAAAAAAAACTAAAAGAAAGAAAACTAATACAGCTACCACATCTAAAGACTGTTAAACTTCAACACATTCAATATTTGTTCTTGAATTTAGAAAACTTTAAAAGAGAAGTATGGGTTTAAAAAAAATAAATATTAAGGCTCCATGCACACTGAGTATTTAATAAGGCTGGTAATATTAGCTGTGTAAAGCCATGTTAAAAATGTGAGTTCTTCAGTGTTTTTTTAGCATTTTGTATTAGCGTTTAGCCGCATTTTTTCACATTTGCGGTTCTTAGCGATGGATGCAGCATCAGTCTGGTGCTGCATCTGTCCCCTAACACTTCTAAGACTGAGAACAGAGCAATCAAAGACCTCTGATCACTCAGTTTTCAGCATTCACTGTGACGGCCATTCACTGGCTCTCTGCTCTGCCCCTCCAGCTCTCAATGGAACATCAGGCTGTGCAGGGGGCAAGAGCAGATGGCTCAGTCTCCCAGCAACTCGCTGAAAGGCTGATCCAGCTGCTGAACCAGGCATTTGGGTGGATCCTAACTGTAAAATCAGGATCTTTCCTGAGCCTGAACTGGCTGAGTGATGACCACTGACAACGGGCTTTAGCACTCCTGTGATCCCCAGGAGAAGTATAGACAAAATATATTTGGCTATACTGCTCCTTTAAAGGCATATTACTAGTCTTGCTGAGATCGATCAAAAAAGACAGAAGAGCATAAATTGTTATCTTATTCTGGAGAAAATACGAAAATACTGCTCTGAGCACCTTCTATGAATGCAACATCAGAGATCAGGTTGGCTGATCCCTCCTCTCATCAGATTTTGGTTACAAGTCAAGCACTGAAAAGAGCCTGGGGCAGCATTTTCTCCAAAAAAGAAAGCCCTTCACTCACTCACTTTAATTGATGAGCCCATCAAGACAGTTAGCATAGTCCTAAAGTAAACCTGTCATGTTCACTAAAGTGCATAATTTAAAATAATTACCTGCACTTCAGATCAGTTCCTTTTGGCTTGAGGAAGACCCGGCATCCCTGGTCCAGGATGTATAAATGGTCTCTGCTGCATTGCACCCCATGTTTAGTTCTGCGCCCTCTTGTCACAGAGTCTTCCCCATGACATTAACTGGCACGTCAGATCCTCTCTGGATAGGAGAAGCTCTGGCATTTGGCAGTTGAATGACTGGGGAAAGCTGAGCACCAAGCGTTGTTATACTGGTTCTGAACTTACATAAAAGGTAAAGCTTTGCATGAAAGCCTGGGCCTAAAGCTGGCCATAGATGGATTGAAATTCAGACAGTTCAACAGGGACCAGCCGAATTTCGATCTCTCTATGGCCATTCCCGCTTGACAGGAGTTGATCTAACAATCAAATTCTGTCCAAAAGGAGTGTTGGAACATCTTTCTCCATCAGCGGGCTGCAGCCAATCGGCTGCAGTACTGATCAGTGTATTCTGACAGCGGAGGAGTCCCACTGTTATGACAGCGCTGGGTTAATTGTTGGTGCTATATAAATACCTGTAATAAATAGGCAGGATGCAGATCATCAACCTCCTTCATGAACTGTAGTAACCCTACACTCCACCCTCATTCCGTTCTCCAGCTCTGACACAACCTTTACCAGACATAAATCAAAGATCTACCAAATTAAATCAGCTGCCTCTTGGCATAAATATAATCCACAGTTTTACAAAAAACTCACCTCAGCTGTGCTACTCTCCAAAAAGGGGCCTCCAAACATGGCTGCCATCCAGTCACAGCCGGAGATCAGCAGAGGTTTATGGGCCTTTATACTTCCGTCATCCAGCACGAAAGTGACATCTGATGAATGGAAGAAAGGATAAGTAGACAGAAAAAGGAGGAAGAAAAACAAAAATCCCTTCAAAGTAAATAGCAATATATATCACAAAACTGAAAAAAAAGTCTATATTTATATTTCAGCCTGAATTAGGCTACTTTTACACTACTTTGACACTTTTTACATATCTATATATGCGTTTTTGCCAAGTTTTACCACATTTGTGCTGCGTTTTATATAGGACATGTGGCTAAAAATACCAAAAAAGCAACAAGGGTGCGTTTTTTTATTTTTTTCGTTTCCATTGATTTTAATGGGGAAGTGCGATTTTGTTTTTTTTTTACAGCACCAAACTCGCACCAAAAATGCAGCAAGTAGGATTTATAAAGACAACCCAAACCCGCAACAGATTAGTATGAAGCAGGGGCGGACTGACAACTCATGGGGCCCCCGGGCAATAGGGGATCATGGGGCCCCTGTGTCCTTGTCCAACTTCAAAAAAGCCTATGAAAAAGGTAACAGGGGCATCTCATGGGGCCCCCTACTGACCCCGGGAGTTTCCAAATGGTCAGTCCGCCCCTGGTTAATACCATTTAACTTCATTATAGGTGTTTGTGGTGCGGGTTTTAACGCTTGGCAAACGCCTATCAAAAGCCTCGAAACCATGCATAGGGCGTTTGGGGAGCGTTTGGGGAGCGTTTGAGGAGCACTAAAAACGCTTCCCAAGCGCCTGTCTAATGCCTGTCAAATGCTATAGGGGAGTTTGGCAAGCGTTAGAAATAAAGTCAAGTGTGAACGAGCCCTTAGAGCACTATTCCAGCCACTGACACCAACAATAGGGCATAATTGCTGTCAACGACACCATCAGTGGGGCACTGTTTCTCCCTCTGACACCAATGAAGGGGCACAATTCCTCCCAATCACATCAACGATGGGACACGCTGACACCATAATTGGGCATTGTTTGTTCCCATTGATGCCAGGACATTTTTTTACTCCAATTGGCCACAGTCCAGCCCCCTTAAAATCTGACGGACAGTAAACTCGCCCAATGTTAAGAAAATCTGGAGAGTCCTGTTCTTGACAGATGTAAGATATTCATGGCTATCCGTGAGCATGTGAGCAGCCACTTTATCAGCATAGAACATGCTTACCGTGGCTTTAAAAAACGTTACCAAGACACACCAGAAACTCCTGATTGGTTTTCAGAAGTCACATATAAGTCATGTGTCATACTGTATATGTGCAATAATATCTATACTTTACACATCAGCATTTTTGGTAGTCACATATTAATTATTATAAATTGCGGATACATTCTTTTCCATAGATCTGCCTGTAATTGTCATTAATGGACTTGCCCAGTGGCAGGAACATAGGATTAGAAATTAGAATTTCAGAGCTTTAGAACTCCAGACAAAATATTGTTAAGCTTTGACAAAAGAACATTTGTTATAATTCTGCGCTGTCTGTGTTGACACTGTAAAGATTGTTGTGTCACCAGGACTGGAAGCCAGAAGTATCTCCCCAGTGGGGACACAGTTAGCTCTGTCAGGTTTTTATTGGTGCTTGCATTCCTGAATAAGCTGTTTCGAATCATTTCCTGTTACCAGGAGAGAAAATGTTGAGAACTATCCCCAACAGAGACACAGCTATAAAAAAAAAAACAGGCAGATATTCTCACCACTCCACACTCTATCCAAATTTAAAAAAAAAAACTATTTTGCCTAGAGTTCCACAATATTTATTTATTTCAGGTACTTACAGTTGCAAGAAAAAGTATGTGAACCCCTTGGGATTACGTGGAGTTTTGCATGAATTGGGCATAAAATGTGCTCTGAACGTCATCTAAGTCACAACAATAGAAGAACACAGTCTGCTGAACATAATACTACACAAACATTAGATGTTGCCATGGTTTAATTGCACATAACATGTAAACATTCACAGTGCAGGGAGGAAAAAGTATGTGAGGTCCTACCTTAATGACTTCTCCCAGAGCTAATTGGAGCCAGGAGTGAGCCAACCTTGACTCCAATCAGTGTGATGATATTGGATGTGTTGCTGACAGCTGTCCTGCCCTTAAAAAACACACACCTGTTTTGAGTTTACTGGTTTCAAGAAGCACTGTCTGATGTGAACCATGCCTTGCAGAAAAGAGCCCTCAGAAGACCTACGATCAAGAATTGTTGACTTGCATGAAGCTGGAAAGGGTTACAAAAGTATCTCCAAAAGCCTTGATGTTCATGTGTCCACGGTAAGACAGATGGTCTACAAATGGAGAAAGTTTAGCACTGTTGCTACTCTCCCTAGGCGTGGTCGTCCTGTAAAAATGACTACAGGAGCACAGCGCAGAATGCTGCATGAGGTAAAGAAGAATCCCAGAGTGTCAGCTAAAGACCTACAGAAATCTCTGGCACATGCTAACATTTTTGTTGACACATCTATAATAAGGAAAACACTAAACAAGAATGGAGTACATGGGAGGACACCACGGAGGAAGCCATTGCTGTCCAAAAAGAATATTGCAGCACGTTTGAAGTTTGCAAAAGAGCACCTGGATGTTCCACAGCACTACTGGCAAAATATACTGTGGACAGATGACACCAAGATTGAGTTGTTTGGGAAGAACACACAACAATATGTGTGGAGAAAAAAAGGCACCGCACACCAACATCAAAACCTCATCCCCACTGTAAAACATGGCGGAGGGAGCATCATGGTTTGGGGCTGCTTTGCTGCCTCAGGGCCTGGATGGATTGTTGTCATTGATGGGAAAATGAATTCCAGAGTTTATCAAGACATTTTGCAGGAAAACATACGACCATCTGTCCGCCAACTGAAGCTCCGCAGAGGATGGGTGATGCAACAGGACAATGACCCAAAGCATACAAGTAATTCAACAAAACAATGGCTGCAATGGCACAGAATACGCCTTCTGGAGTGGCCCAGTCAGAGTCCTGACCTCAACCCGATTGAAATGCTGTGGCATGACCTTAAGAGAGCGATTCACACCAGACATCCCAAGAATATTGCTACACTGAAACAGTTTTGTGAAGAGGAGTGGTCCAAAATGACTCCAGATCGTTGTGCAGGTCTGATCTGCAACTACAGGAAATGTTTGGTTGAGGTTATTGCTGCCAAAGGAGGGTCAACCAGTTATTAAGTCCAAAGGTTCACATACTTTTTCCTCCCTGCACTGTGAATGTGTACATGTTATGTGCAATTAAACCATGGCAACATCTAATGTTTGTGTAGTATTATGTTCAGCAGACTGTGTCCTTCTATTGTGACTTAGATGACGTTCAGAGCACATTTTATGCCCAATTCATGCAAAACTCCACGTAATCCCAAGGGGTTCACATACTTTTTCTTGCAACTGTATATAGCGCCGTCAATTTACACAGCACTTTTACATATATATTGTACATTCACATCAGTCCCTAATCCTCAAGGGGTGCACAATCTAAGGTCCCTAGCTTACATTCATACATTCAGCATGACTTTGGAGTGTGGGAGGAAACCCACACAGGCACAGGGAGAACATGCAAACTCCAGGCAGGAGGTGCCATGGCTGAGATTTGAACCAACGACCCTAGTACTGCCAGGTGGAAGTGCTAACCCTTTTAACCATTGTGCTGCCCAACACTCTAATTTCTATTTGCCGTTCCAGTCTATGTGTTGCGGGATCAAGCCTCCCAAGGAAGCAACAAGCAAACCTTTAATAAATTCAGTGAACTGTCCATTGAAAATATGCAAGAACCAGCCAGACCTAACAACTGCTACAGTTGCTATTTTGCAATTTGTACAAGTGTCACATTTAATATATTGAAGCCTACAAGACATTATTCATCGAAAAAATGGAAACGCTAGATGTGAAGTGAAAGCAACCTGATCTAGCCAAGTTGCTGGCAGTGAATGTATTTTACAACTATGGCGAAATGACAAAGAAAGCAATCATTTGCTCCTTTATGTCCCTAAACCTGAAATTTTAAAGTGTTACTAAACACACAACAGTAAAATCAGTCTGTATATGCAGTAAAGCATGCTTGTGTAAAAAGAATGTTTGATCCTGTCTTCTCTGATCCTCTCCTTTTTCAGTGTCTCCTAAACATCTTATAGAACAGAGGCTCTGGAGCAAGCTGCACATGCTCAGTTTGATCTGCAATGCTAGAGATTTTTTTTTCTTGGCTGAGTGCATGTGATCAGAACAGGGCCAATCAGCACTGTCCAGACAGAGGTAAGGGGTTCTGCATCCTCCTACAGGAGAATGAAAACTCCTACAAGCTGTAACCAGTGCTTTGCTGGACACTGATAGAAGTCAAAAGACGTCTCTAACTGCTGATGAGAAAAGGTATTTAGCAGTTTATATTTACTAAAATAATTACATTTCCATGTTCTGTGTACTGTGGGAGATCCGATATAGTGAATACAGGGTCCTTTAAGCCTGGGTTCACATATATGTGGTGCAGTAGAACCGCACTGCATTCCTGTGCAAATCACATGCGATTTGTGTGCGGTGCGATCAGAGCCATACATTTTGTTTGGCTCTAATCGCACTGCACCCGCACCAAAAACGTGCAGGATCCTTTTTTTGGTCTGCACTAGAATCGGATTGCATAGGTATTCACACCTAGCGATCCAATTCTGCACAGCGCGAAACGATGTACAGAATCGGACTGCACCGCACCCACACCAAAAACGTGCAGGACCCTTTTTTTGGTCCGCACTAGAATCGGATCACACGGGTATTCACACCTAGCGATCCGATTCTGCACATTATTCCACGTTTTGAAGACCATTTTTCGGGGTGTTGTTAACATACACACCCCCAGCGGTTTGCATAAGCGGGGTGTGATTCTGATGCGGTGCGGAGTTCACACAGAAAACACTGAAAATTCTGCACCGCATCAGTGTGAACCGGGGCTGATGGTAAATTTAATACCACTTTAATGGTAGATTTCTCAATGTTGCCTGTAAAAGCACCTATGTGTTAGGCTACATTCACACTAGGCAGCACAGT